TCCAAAAATACCTCATGTAGCTTGTCTATCTTCCAAGTCTTTGAATTATAATCATTCAGAGAACTCAAAAGAGCATCATCTGCTTGTTGGAATAGAAATCCCAAGAGTCGTTGACAACGCGTATGTATTGAATATCAAAAAATTTCCTTTAAAACCCTACAAGACGGAATTAGGGTTTACCTTCGAGATCTCTCGGGACTGATCTCATCTCAGCACGAATATAGAACAGAACAACGACTACAACTCGACGAACCTTGCGGCCTTTAGTCGTATATCCCCAAACGTCAGAATTGGGGATGACAGTGGACCAAATCGGGGGGCGGGGGGGTGTAGTCTCCATGCTCTTACTTGCTTAAAAAAACTCTGTCCATCCCCGATCTACCCCCGTTAACGAATATAATTTTCATCTTCATCTCCGTCCGCGGGTAAATTTGTAATCCCCCCCCGCTCCGTCCCCCACCTGCACCTCCGGCCCCAACCTCGTCCACCTTACCCGCCCAAGCCCAAGTCCAAGCCAACATAAGCCAAGATTATAAATAAATTTAACATTCTAAATAATTCAACATAATTATAGAATATCATAACTCAATTAAAAGTTTGTCATTTACAACATAATATAATTAAAACCTTATCTACAACATAATCCAATATAATATAATTAAAAATTTGTCTTCCTTGTAAATCCAACACAATATCATACAAAACAATATAATGTAACATAACATATTCCAACATAAAAAAAATATAAAAACACAAATATCTACACTTTTACAATCCAAAATCATGAAAAGAAAAAATCAAAAAACAAAACAATTTTCAAAAAAAAAATTATTTAATAATATGTAGATTTGTATTCAAAGTAACACACACACACACACATATATATATATATATAATAGTAATAATAATAACGAGTAAAGCAGGACGGGGGTAAGTGTCAGTCCATCCCCGGATATGTTTATATGGGTATCCCTGTATACGTCTACCATTCAATACGTATGGGGTTTGGATGAAGACTCATTTTTACCCCGTCCACTGCCATTCATAGTCAAAATTCGGACGCCGTTTGAGCTGCCAAGACCTCCGAATCCTTGCTTTCTCTTTCAGCCTCCCTAAAAAATGTGAGTAAAGATAAGATGTTGAAATAGAGAACCTAGACGTCTATATATAGGCTACAACAAAGACCCTAAGGAGAAATAAGAACTGGGCTCTCAATGGGCTTAAGATTTCTATGTTCAACCCATTAATAATAAGTCAGTCCACTAAAGACTTATTATTGATCTCCTGTGCCTTATCTTAAAATTATATTCGAATTCCTTATTATTATATGTTTAATAATCTTCCCACGTCTAAGATTATAAATATCCATGAATTAAATAAATTACTGACAACTATATTTAATTGACTTCTTTTATTCATTGAGACTTTACCACTCAATTTATTTGTCATGTCGGATAATTAAATTCATATGCAGGGTTTGACATGGACAAAACTCATGAGTTTCTTCAAGAGTACATTATCAACTCATTTAAATACTAGGACATGGTTTCCTTTAATATTTAATTTTCATCATATAAATAACATCATCTCCAATTTTATCGAACTTATTGACCCAATATGAATCTCACTCTTTGATGAATTAAAGTGACAAACATTATATGCACGTAGCAATTAAATATTTAGGGATTAAGAGCATAAGTAATCATAATAATCATGAGGTACTTATTATCTTATCAAATCAGTAAAAGATAATAACCTCAACATGAGTTTGTTCAACATACAAAATGTACTACTGCAATAATACGAGATATCAAACAATCTCCTATAGTCAAGACAGACTATGTCAGAACATTACACTACAATCATAGCAATGTCGTGTCCAATTCAATCTACGATTGTGAACATATACTCATATTATACAAAGATACGATAATCTGGTCTACTGTGCATAAGCCGAACTCTACACGACAGATTATCTACAATGTAAAATATAAGACACACATGTGTATCATATATAAAATATAATACAAATATTTTTCCTATATAGATTCTCAATAAAATGACAATAACAAACTTTTATTAATTAATAAAATAGGTTTCACTACCAAAAAAAAACTTTTAGTATGCTGAGAGAGGGCTAATAACCTTAAAAGTAGTCGGTCTTGAATCCATCTATCAGATTTTATTCTAATAGTTATCCCATTGCAAATCCGCCATCGTAGTCCTTTCATCACATATTTTCTAGGCTCCAACATACTACGGCGAGTAAAGGAGGGATTATAGCCTAGTTGAGCCTCAATTATTGATGTATTTGGGAAATATTTAGCCTTTAACACCCTACCCAACAATGACGATGGGCATTGAAGAAGCCACCAAATCTACTTTGCAAGAAGGACGTAATTAAATACTTCTATATTCCAAAAACCCATCCCGCCTTTAGTCTTCAGTCTACATAGTCTCTCCCAGGCTAGCCAATGTATTTTCCTCTTAGAACCATTACCACCCCACCATAACTTCGTTATCAAGCTGTTCCATTCTGCACATAGTGTAGAAGGTAGCTTAAAGCACGACATAGCATATTTCAAGATAGCTTGCGCTACTGACTTAATAAGGACCTCTTTACCTGCACTTGATAAAAGTTTCTCTTGCTAGCCTTGCACATTCAACCATACCCTCTCGCAAATAAAATCAAAGATAGCACGCTTTGTTTTTCCAATCATCGAAGGAAGCTCCAAATATTTATCATGGTGCTCAACTACTGGAACTCGTAGCATACTCTGAATTTCACCTAGAATAGTTGGCTAGGTATTTTTACTAAAAATAATAGCTAATTTAGAGAAATTAACTACTTGTTCAGAGGCCATTTCATATTTATGGAGACACTCCATGATAGCCTCACAATTCCCCCTAGTGGTCTGGGCAAAAAGGAGGTTGTCATCCACAAAAAATAAATGATAAAAGATTGGCCCTCCCCATCCTGCTGTCATTCCTTGAAGACTTCCCCTAACCTCTCCTGCTCTTAAGAGTGCCGAGAAACCTTCAAAACACAACAAAAATAAATAAGGCAAAAGAAGATCTCCCTGCCTTAATCCTTGTTACAGCCTGAAAAAACTGGATTGTTTCCTGTTGATTATAAGGGAATAGTATACTAACGAAACACACCGCATTATGATTCTCACCCAACGCTCACCAAATCCTATTCTACGCATCATTGCTTCCAAGAAGTTCCACTCAATATAATCGTAGGTTTTACCTCCCTTATTCTTCTGCTTTAGATAATGATTGAGCTCGTACGCACTAAAGACGTTATCCGTAATCAACCGTCCTGGGATGAAAGCACTTTGATACTCTAAAATTATTTTGGGTAAAATCCTCTTCAATCTATTAGCAAGGACTTTCGCTATTAGTTTATATACAACGTTGCACAAACTAATGGGGCAAAAGTGTGTCATATTTTCTAGATTTGGGATCTTGGGTACCAGTACTATGTGGGTATAGTTAAGACTGCAACAAGGGTTATCTGAATTTAGAAAATCCAATAGAACTCTTGTGACATCACCACCCACTATAGGCCAGAATTTATGGAAGAAAATTAGACCAATACCATTTGGACCTAGAGACTTATTTGGGTGAAATTGGTTCAAAGCTTGAGCAACTTCAGATGGTAGAAATTTTGCTAACAAGATGCAATTCATATTAGCTGAGACACTCGGTTTTACACTACTTGTGACTTGTTCCATCTATTGAAAAGAAGGATGCGCCGACTTGAACAAGTCCGTAAAATATTTAACTGCAGTTTGGTCAATCTGTCCCATCTCTGTAACCCAAATACCCTCTTCATTGAAAAGGCCCGAGACCAGATTCCTCTGTTTGCTAGAACTTGCTTGTGCATGAAAGAAACTCGTGTTTCTATCACCCTCCTTTAACCACAATGATTTTGATCACTGCCTCCACATTGTTTCATCCGCCTTCAACATGTTATTAATCTGAGCTTGAACCTCAAATAATTCCTTTCTTGTATCCTCTGTGATGGTCCCCGCTTGTAAATTGACTATCCACTCTTTATTCGTTTGAATCTTGGTGGTTATATTGCCAAACTTTTCAGATTTTTTCACTTCAATAACCCTGCTCTGCAACTTCTTATATTACTGAGGTAGTGTTGTACAAGCGAACCTGTTCCAACACCAAGCCAACTTTGGCAAATTACTTCCAAACAAGAGGGAACAATAAGCCACATCGGCTCAAAACAAAATCATTTTTCCTTACCCTTTCTACTCCCAGGTTTTGTGAATCAGAAATGTGAAATAGGATTTGGCAATGATCCAAATCCAAGGTGGGTAGATGTTCTACGCTACTATGGGGAATAGTGATGACCACGATAGGGATGCTCAAATTCTATCCAATCTCACCTTAATTGAGTACAGATGGACACTCCCATTCCACCATGTAAAAGCATTGCCCTTGAAGGCCATATCTTGCAATTGACACACATCAATTGCTTTGCAAAAATCCCTCATTTGCCAATTTGGACGAGCCTATCCACCCCATTTCTCCTCAAAAGACACGATCTCATTGAGTCTCCCCCATACACCCAAGGGAGATAAGATATCTGGCTTAATGACTTCAAAAGATTCCATGAATGCTTCCTTAAGCTAACTTTAGGGTGACCATAGAATCCCACAAAACGTCATTGCTTAGGGCACCCCTCATCAATAATTGCTTTAATATGAAAATCTGAGAAGCTTTTAACGCTAACTCGAACACCCATTTTCCACAATAAAGCAAGCCCACCACCTCTACCTTGTGAATCAAATGCCAACCCTTGGGACAAGCCAACCCAAAACTTTATTTTATCTATCTCATTAGAAAGTAGCCTGGTCTCTATCAAGAAACCAAACTAGGCTCTTTCTGTTTCACCAAATCATGAAGCGCAAGAACTGCACAAGGGTTCCCAAGCCCTCAACAGTTCCAGCAAACACCTATTATGGTTCCCAGTGGGACTAATCAAAAATCATCATCGATGATGATGAGTTGAGAAATGTAGATTGTGATACTTGAACCTTCTTGCAAGAAACATTGTCATTTTCAAAATTTGTTGAGCACCTTGACCTTTCGCCCCGTCGCTTACCACCCACCTTAATCTCTTGGATTACCCAATTTGTAGCTAGGGTATGGGGTTTAGCCTTGCAAGACCACTTCCTTTTGCCTGTGCTAGCTAGCTTTAAATCCCTAATTGCAACATCATTTAGCTCAGAAGACGAAGACCCTTTTCCCGAGGAACAAGTGTCTTCCATATGGGTTGGGTCTTTTGGATGTTTAAGGGAATAGCCCATATTCTCCACAGACTCTAGAAGCTCCAGATGGGCCGTAGTTGGATAGTCTGAGGTGAGACCCACCTCATATAGGTCACTAACTATAAGGGCCTGTTACATTTTTTTTAGAGTCCAAAGAGTCCACCCTAGCTGGAGTTACCACATCCCCCCTTTCCTTATTTAAACCAATAATCAAATCCTCACTAGAGATTTGTGGAGAGATTACATAATCTAGGACTCTGTCCTTAACATTAGTATCCCTTTGATGGCTCTCCTTGATTTTCGGCCTAACAACACACCTAGAATCCCATAATGGATGCCCCTGATTAAGCCCCAGTTCAGGTGTCAGAGCAGAAGCCAATGACACAATTTCCGATGATCCAGGTTCATTCTGGTGCCTAAGAACCAATTTGGACTTGGTAACAGTAGTGTTCAACCATGCACCATATTGATTCACAAGCCCTTCATCTGTTTCTAATGTCGCTTTCAACCCAGAGCATTACTTCTCGGTATGCCCTGCTTTACCACAGTGATAACACATTCGTGGTAGCCTTTCATATTGGAATAAGGCAAAATGGGTTTCCCCCATCCTATCCCTGAGTTTAATTCCTTGGCAAAAGGGTACCGTAATGTTCACATCGACCCTTAACCTCATGAATCTGCTCCCATTCCCCAGCTCTTCACAGATTTCCACAAACTTCCACTCCTTAAAGTTACTAGTAATTTTGATTGCCATATCCTTAGTAAAGCATTCGCGAGGAAGACCCTTAACTTGAACAAAATTGGACCAACTCAAATGAAACTAAGTTGACCCCGATACCTTTGGACCAACTTTTAGTGATAAGCAAGAAATTATCAAAGCACCATGGTCCTTGATACAAGACTTTGTAAATCTCCTTCTCCTCGTTCAAGAAAAATTGAAAGATGTTAGGAGAAAGCCTCGAAACTCTCAAATCTTTACATCCCAAACCCCGACATTGTGTTCTTTAAAACTATTGAGTTAACATATTTCTCTGTCAAGATCTTTGCATAAACACTCAAAGCACACTCCTCCAAACCTTCTGCAATGTCATCAATACTAAAATCAATAGCCACATTCTCTTCCTCCATAAGAGAAAAAGACTGAAGCTTATGAATCAAGCCTTCTTCCATAGTGCGTCCTCTGACAGAAGCAAACAGACCTAACTCAATGAAATCATAGTGGGAAAGACAAACTCCAAGCAATCAAAAGAGAAAATCGAAACCACGCATGAGCACAATAAATCTAGTTAGACTTGATCTTTGTGCAAAGAGAAATCATTCAATAAAAAAGGCAGATAGATGAGAGATGGAAATGAAGAAAGGAGGAAGAATAGAAAGGCAAAAAAGAGAACTCCTATAGATGACCTAAGGAGAGAATTATTGATATGCTCTTATTTTGTGTAAGAAAGTTAATCCCTCTAATTCACCAACTAGCTCATATTGTTGTGAAGCAATACATACAAATGATGGATGAACAAAGCCAGGAAGTGCATAGGCTGCCCTCCTAATAACCAAAAATTTCAATGGATTTTTATAAGAAAAAAATCAAAATTGTTTGAATAAATTGATTTTAGCGAGGTTTGTGGATGACATAATGTCCGCCACTTGTGGATGACATAATGTCCGCCACTCCTGCTGTTAGATCTTAAGGTTATGAATTTGAATTTCGTTGTCTACCTTTCATATAATAGTGGATTTTAAAAGTTATTCTGTTGAGGTCCTACTCAACCCTCACAAGAACTCAAGTTTCACTGATGTGATCGATCAATTATTTTCGTGAATCATGTGGCATAAACGCCAAAATAAGAAAAGTTGGTTAATCTAACCACTAAAGGAAAAAGTGGACAACGTGCTTCACGCTTCCCACTGTACATGCTGACCCAATATAATTCCAAATGGAAAACAGTTTCTAAATTCCCAAAAATTAATTTACTATTTTTTATTAATTAATATAACCTTTTTTATTTAGTTCAAATTTATATATTTATTCATTTATTGAAATGAATTTAGTTTGTTACTATAAACAAGGACAATGTCAACGAGCAGGGACAGAGTCAAGATTTTATACTTAGAGGGTTAAACTTTATCACAAAAATTCAAATTTTCAGTGTAACAAAATAATGTATTCGATATGAACAAAACTATGGATGCAAAAAATAAGATTAACAAAAAAAAATAGTTTTTAATACATACGAATCCAATTGTCTATTCAAGTAATGCTCAATGTACTTTTATATCACGAAATTCTTCTATAATTGAATCCGTACTAAACTTTTTAGCAATTTTTTTTTCTATGTACACAATCAAAGAATCTATGATTGGAATGTGCTCTAATTTTATTGTCTTTCTATTTATTAAGAACATATTTTTTATGGAATAAATGGGATAGGGACAATTTTTCCTGTGCTAATTAGGAAAGGATAGAAAAAATATTTTAATGCTTCATTGTTGATTGGCCTAGAGACAAAAGATAGAAAAAATATTGTAATGCCTCGTTGTTGATTTGTCTAGGGACCTCTTCTTGTACGAAAAGTTAACAAAAGGAGCCAACCAAGTCTTCTTGTCGAGTAAAACTCCTTTAGCAGCTCTAATACCTACCTAGTGTTATCCCAAATTTAGGGGGGCCATGGCCACCCTTGTGAGAGATAGTGAGTGGTTGGGAGAAGATGAGATTAAATATAGACAAATTGGTACTCTCTTCTTACACATATAGTATCATCTACTCCTAAGAATATACATATTTTTTTTGGTTTAAAGATAAACGGTGTTCGAATTAGTTTATGTGTACTTCAACTAATTTCTTCTTTGATCCGATCTAAAGTAAAAAATCTACGTCGAAACTAAGATATTTATGGGCCTCACTCCAAAGAGTTGATAATATTTGACCTATTACTTTCATAACTAGGACTATCTGTAAGAATATTCAACCTATGGTCGGGACTATTTGTAAGAATATTCAACCTATTACTTTCATAATCAGTAAAAAAAAAAAAAAAATCTTTATTCTATTAATCATAAGTGTTTAGACATTTAAATTCAAATTAAGGAATGTCTATGATTTCTGTTTAGGAAAATACTAGATATACCCAAGTTGGGACTTACTCCATTAATCTTTTGTCCTTATTAGATTAAAAGTGAGAATTGAGATTCGTTGTTAATCTAATTATAAATTCTATCAGTGTTATATTCAACGTTATTTATCCCAAACTAGAATAAAAGAGGAGGATAGCATTAGGTAGTCAATAATCATAATTATTGATTAGGTGATGGGTCGCAATAAATTTTAAAATTTACAGTGAAATCAATGACAACAATTAATTAAGTTTAAATTTTAAATCCATGTAGTATTTGCTCCAAATAAAGACGGACTCATATAGCTGATTTACCATAATGAGTCCAAATAAAGACAGACCCGTATAGTCAACCCTAAGATGGAAAAAATATTTTTTAATTTAATATTTTTTAATTTTTAATTTTTAATTTTAAATTTTAAATTTATATATATATGAATTTTTTTAAATTTATCATTATATTTTTATATGAAATTAATATATACATAATATATGTATATATTAAAAGATATATCGACAAATAAGATATATTTCAATATAAATAATTAACTTTTTATTTATTTATTTTTTATTTTGGAGGGATTGATTTTGGTGAATCGGAAAGAAGTTAATTTATCTATTTTTTCATTCTTCTTATTTTCCTTCCTCATCAAACATGATATTTTATTTATTACTCAAACTTTTCTTCTTTTTCTATCATACCAAACGGAGCATAAATAATTGGGACATAAGACTTGATTTTGCTTGATTTTGTTTTGTTAATCTAATTATATTAAAACTAAGTATTATGCTAACACTTGTACAATGTATAAACTCCAGATGTACTCAATTATGCTCGATGAACTTTACTTTGCTTTCTTCATACATTCTGAGCCGCTAATGTTCCATAAAACACACAAGGGCTAATGACTCAACATTTTGAACCTAAATAAGAAGGAAACGTTGGAACATGCATTAACAATCAAACCAACCTATCAGAATCCGGCAATCCTTGCCGGAAATCTTCCTCCCCGACCATGGCCGGCGGTTTTGAACGCTTGACGGCGATGGAAGCTCGGCAAACCGGACAACTGGAGTGAGAGTAGAGCCACATATCAATGCAAGCAAAGTGAAAAGAGTGTTTACAAGCGTTCAGCTGCCTAATCTCTTCTCCTTCAACAAACGCCGACAAACACACCGGACATTCGCCGCCGTTCTCTTTTCCGTGATCCTCCTTTATATACTTCACCACCGAAGCCCAATCCGTTTTATTCATATGTGAACCCCTCGGGGTCAACTCTCCGGCGTTCCCGCCGGACCGCCGGCCAAGTCTCTCGAAAGGGTTAGGAGGGCACTTTATAGCGAAAAAGAAAGCATAGATCAAGGTGGGTATGGCAATAAGTGTTACTAAAGCAACGATGGCGGTGAGAAGAGGCATGTCGGAGCTTCTAGAATCGGCCGCCGGAGAAGATAAGGGTACGGTGGAATTGGTGGTGGCAGTGGTCATGATAAGGTAGGGTCTTTGGTGGTTTAATTTCTAGCCGCCTGAAGAAGAATGATCTGATGAAGTCTTCATTTGGCTTTATGAGGAAGAATAATTGAGGGGACAAAGACAAAGGTCATGTGTAACATCAAATAGCTTGGTGTGCAGCTAGTACATGACTTGAAGATAATATTGTTTTCAACCACCAAGACGGCTAGACACACGGTGAAAAATAGGAAAAATGGAAAGAAAGAAAAAAAAAAAAAAGTAGACAGCCTCCATTGAAATAGGAAGGCTTCTATTTTCGATCACGAAAAAAGTCATATTCATTAGAAAAGTGTGGGATGAATGGATCTAATCAAAAAAGTTTATAGGACTCGTTCATCTAATAAACGATATTTATTTAAATTATATTTGAATTTTATACCATTACTCTCGAAGCTGCATTCAATTAGTTCCCGTAGCATTGCTAGTCAATTATTTTTGAATGATTGATAGACTTGGCAGAACAGTACTTCCAAACTTGGTATGCAAACTTTAGATTTTTGTAGGTTTTTTTGGATGTGTGTGTGGATTAGATCAGTTAGATGCGTGTGTGTGGCCTTCTTTGCACAGGGTCATCTTCTTTGTCCTCAAGTTCTGTGATTGCTTGTAGAAACACACACCCTTCTTTTTGTTGGTCGAGTAGAAACACACACCCTAACCCACGTATATATATTGCCTTCGTTCCATCTCCTTTGTCCTCGAGTTTTTGTGCTTGTGCTTTTTCATTTCTTTTTTTTTTTCAATTTTTTGGTTCAAACTTGATCGTGTGCCTAAACCCACGTACTTTCTGTCATTGCAAATAATTTTGAAGGGTCTGGAAGGTTTTGTCCATCATCTTGCACATTGTTTTGGGGAAATTAGTTACTTAATTAGAACAAGAAAAGAGAGGAACTTGAGGAATGAAATAACGGAGAGAAAGAGATTTAGATCCTCTGTATTACGCTTTAACTTAATTTTATTCAATAATAGATCACTTACCATGTATTAGTGAAAGATTCACTTATAAAGAGTGAAACATATGTAAATCCATGATATGTGATATATCATTTTGTCCATCATCTTGCACATTGTTTAACACAAACTAGACTCCACAAAAAAATCTAACAAATCTTCCTTGCAACTCATCAACATCAACCGCAATTCTCCAAAAGAAACGGTCCCTCATCCTTGCAACTCATCCTCCTGTCCTCAAGTTGAGAGACCCACAAAAGCTGAACAAGACTTTAACTTCTCCACAGTAACCACTTTCGTGAACATGTCTGTTGGATTATCCCTTGTGTGAATTTTCTCCAAAGTGAACTGCCCATCCTCCAACAAAGAGCGAATAAAGTAATAATTATGTCGATATGATTGGTCCTCGAATAAAAAGCTGCATTCTTCGCCAGATGTATCGCACTCTGACTATCGTTGAACAATTTAGAATTGTTTTACTCCTTACCTAACTCTTTCATGAAGATCCTCAACCATACCATTTCCTTGCACGCCTCCGTGGCTGCACCATACTCCGCTTCTGTTGTTGAAATAATCACTATTTTTTGTAGCCTCGAGACCCAACTAGTTGCTGTACTAAAAACATACCCTGTAGTACTCTTCATGCTATCAATGTCCCTTGCTAAATCAGAATCTACAAACCCTTGTAAACAAATATCAGAACTCCCAAAATTCAAAGCCAAATATGAAGTACCTCTCAAGTAGCGCAGAATCCATTTAACTGTTTCCCAATGCTCCTTGTCTGGATTTGCCATGAACCTGCTGACAACTCCCACTACATGAACAATATATGGATTTGTGTAAACCATGACATACATCAAATTGCCTATCGCCGAGGCATGTGGAACCTTTACCATATAGTTTTGCTCTTCATCTGTTACTGCACACTTTTTCTTCGAAAACTTGAAGTGACTTATCAAAGGTGTGCTAACTGGCTTAGCACTCTCCATGTGGCACATTTTCAGCACCTTTTCAACATACTCCTCCTATAACAACTTTAATTTCATGTTTGCCCTATCCCTAGTAATTCGCATCCCAAGAATTTTTTTCGTAAAACTCAAATCCGTCATTGCAAACTCCTTTGATAGTTGTGCATTGAGATTAATAATCTCATCCATGCTTGAACCTACAATAAACATATCATCTACATACAATAAAAGTATGAGATATGACGTATCAAGCTTCTTAAAATAACAACAATGGTTCCTATGACATCTACTAAACCCCTTAGCTACTATAAAGGTATCAAACTTTTTATACTATTACCTCGGAGCCCGTTTTAACCCATACAGACTCTTCATCTGCTTGTATATTTGATTCTCCTTGTCTTTTACATTATAACCCTCTGACTAATACATATAAATGTCTCCCTCCAAATTCTCATGAAAGAAAACAGTTTTAACATCCAATTACTCTAGATGCAGGTTCTCAATAGCTACAATATTAAGGACACATCTGATAGTAAAAATCTTAATAGGAGAAAAAATTTCAGTGTATTATATTCCTTGTTTATGCTCAAAATCTTTGACTACCAGCCTTGTCTTGTATCGTTTGCTCCCATCAGATTCTTCCTTAATCCTGTAAACCCACTTGTTGTGTAAAACTCTCTTCCCTTTGGGCAATTGAACCAATTCCTAAGTCTGATTAGATAAAATAGAATCCATCACATGCTCTAACTCCTTTTTGGACTCAACCTGCAATGCTTCCTCAAAACATTTTGGTCCACTGCTGTCAGTTAACAACAAATAATTCAAAGATAGAGAATAACGTAATGGAGGCTTTATCGTATATGTAGTCCTTCTAAGAAGAGGAGTCTGTGGATCTACCAGTGGAGTAGATTGTGTATTAGTATCTTGAGGCTCTAAGATATTTTTGTTAGGGTTCTCCTCAAACTCTACAAAGTCTAATTTTACCTCAGTCTCCTTGGGTTGACTTAGTCTGTTTCTATACAAAATTGATTCATTAAATACCACATCAATACTCTTGCGTGTTTTTCGATTTTCAAATGATACAGCCTATACTCATAGCTATTAGTATCATAGCCTATGAATACGCACTTACGAGACTTAGCATCGAGTTTATCCCTATCCTAAAATTCTAGATGCATATAGGCAATGCAACCAAAAAACTCGTAAATGGGATAAATTTACCTCATTGTCTGTCCAAGCCTCCTCTAGCAATCCATAATTCAACAGAACTGAAGGCTTCCTGTTGATCAAATACACAGCAGTATTTACTGCATCAGCCCAAAATTGGTTAGGTAACCTAGCATGTAACCTCATGCTCTTTGCACGCTCTAGAATCGTCTTATTCATGTGCTCAGCAACTCCATTTTGCCTTGGTTTCTTTGGGACCATTTTCAACCTTCAAATCCCATTCGCAGCACAGTAAGTTTCAAACTCACTGCTACAATACTCGCCACCATTATCTGATTTTAGGCACTTTAATTCATCATTGTTTCATTTTCAACTAATGCTTTTTAATTCTTGAAAATATTAAACACATTAGATTTATGCTTAAAAAAATAAACTCATAATTTTCTAGTAGCGTCATTAATGAAAGTAACAAAATAACGTGAACCACCAACAAAAGATACCTTTGATGGACCCCACACGTCAGTATAAACAAACTCTAATTTATCCGTTTTCAAAGTCCTTACCACCTTTGCAAAGCTGACCTTCTTTTGTTTTCTGAGAACACAATCCTCATAGAAGTGAAAATCTAGTGACTTACAACCCGACAATTTCCCTTTTGACATCATTACTTTCATCCCCTTTTCACTCATGTGACCTAGCCTACGATGCCACGTAGTGCAGTCAATCCTTGATGCTATCACCATGATACTATTGTAAGTACCCAAAGATACATATAGAGTTTCTTATTTTTTACCTCAAGCAAAAATCAAAGCCTTTACTCATCTTTCAAGCATTTGATGTAAACGATGTGAACACTCCACCCTCTAACAACTGACCCACTAAGATAAGATTTCGTATTAGACTAGACACGTGTCTAACATCCTTCAATTTCAGATCCCCTTTCCCAACTATATTGTAGGCTTCATCATCGCCCAAATACACTTTGTCAAAGTTTTCCTGCACATAATTTTGTAGCACATTCATGTGTGGGGTAGCATGAAATGAAGCTCCAGAATGTATAATCCAAGATTCACTACAAGAATCCAACGAACAAATCAAAGCATCATTATCAGACTCATCAGCAATATTAGCAGTATTTTTACTTTTTTGATTATTCTCATTCTGCTCCTTTCTTGGTGTCTTGCAGTCCCACTTTCAGTACTCCTTCTGACCACAGTTCCAATAGCTCTCATCTCTGTCACGAGATTTACTTCGGCCTCTATTTCTCGAATACAATTTCCCTTGCCTCCCTTATTCATAGACCTACCTCTCTCCTCTGTATTAAGTGCTGAATCTAAAACAACATCCTCACCCGATGCTCTTTTCAGAGCCTCTTCTCCTAATATCAATGCCACAACATCCTCCAATTTTATCTTTGCAGACCTAGAAGAATTGTTTATTATCACGACAAGTCCATTTCAACTTTTCGATAGACTTGATAAAAGGACGATAGCTCTAATTTTATCATAAAAAATAATCTTCACAGATTCTAACTGATTCGTAACCGTATTAAATTCGTTGATATGTTCAGCAACAATAGTATTTTCAGACATCTTTAGGTTAAATAACTTTTTCATAAGATATATCTTATTCACTGTTGAAGGCTTTTCGTACATCTTTTCTAGGGTTTTGAACAAATATGATGTAGTTTCTTCTTTGGCGATGTTCGACGCAACTGACGACGCGAGGCACAATCGCACAGTCCCTAAGGCTTTGCGATCCAGAACGTCCCACTTTGCTTGCTCTATATCCGCTGGCTTCGTGCCATTGATAGGTTGATACAGATTCTTCTGATATAAAATATCCTCCATTTGCATCTTTTAGAACGCGTAGTTCATGCCATTGAATTTTTCGATCTTGACTTTGTCTTTAGCCATTGTGTAAACCCTTGATCTCTTTACCCGGAGCTCTGATACCAGTTGTTGAGATTTAAGGCTCTTCAAACCCACAGATAAACACACACAATCGAAGAATAAATCAAGAACATAAAAAATAATGAGAAACAAGAAAGAACAAGAGACACATATTTTACGTGGTTTGGTAATTTTTCTACGTCCACGAAATTGCAGGAATTTTACTATTGAGAGAAATGAATACAGAAACGGCTATACAATGCACTTAAAACCTTAATCACCAAAATAACAGGTTTTATATGTCCTGCGCATTGGACTAAGCCTCAAAAAATTTTTTATTAAAAACCACGCAACATATTTTGGGTCGGATCATTATCTAAATCAACACAAACTAGACTGCACAAAAAAATCCAACAAGAATAAGGTGCAATTTAAAGAGGTTAATTTGAACTAAATACTTAAATATAAATTCTTAGTACTTGGATGGAGCTTGAGCTAAAAACTTAGTCTGTTTCAACTTTCGACAATACTTTTGATTTTACGAACCTAACTTGAATTGAATGCACATTAAATTGTCCGAGAAGTGCATTCAATTGAACGTGCAGATATTCTCTTGTATGTGTTCATATAAAAAAAATTGATCACTTCTAAGCTAATCAAAATACTGTAGATAACTTAGACCTTACAGTTTGTACCCAAATATACAAAAACCTCAACCTCCAAAATGGGGCACCTCGTACAGCTCCGGTGGCGGGACACCCCCGGAATCCGGTAAGGACACTGCAACATCGTTCTGTGGCCAAGGCACAATACCGGCACGGCGAAGTGGACAATTAGGGTTTGAACACAACCACTTATTAATGCATTGCACATGAAATATATGTGCACATTTAGGCAGTATACCAATTTCATCACCTTCATTGAATTCACTTAAACACACAGCACACGTCTCTTCTTTACATTCTAATTGTCTGTATATGCACATTGCCATCAGAGCCACTGTTGAATTGCTCGCGGTGGTGTTGCTGCTGCTGTTGGTGCTACTACTACTAGGAAGCTCTTCTTGACTGTTGGTTCTAATGATTTGTCGTTGACCAGTAGCAGTTGGGGTGGTTGTTCGGGGGTGATTATTATTACAACAACCTAACAACTATGCAGTGAAAAGTTGTAATCATGATAACTTCGACGAGGACGCCAAGAAGGCCGATGAACAGTGGGCTGAATTCTAGTGTGTGTGGTCATGATGTGCTTCATCCATCATGAGCAAGATTGTGCTTCATGCCATAGATATATGTTAAAATTGTGTCACGCTATCCATAGAATAAAAATTGTTACTATTGATTTTATTTTGATTCCATATTGCCCTTAATATGGTTTTAGGGAATAATTGTAAATATCATTCAAAACTTAGTGACATGCTATGTATGAAAAACTAACATATCTAATGTGTTACTTTCAAGAGAGAGAAAGTCAATATCGAATATCATGTGATACGAATTCATGGGTAGGAATCACCCTTAATTAAAAATCGGTTTTCAAAAGAGTGGCGCCTAAGAATTTGTATATACATCCAACACGGGAAGTGAAAATTAGCCTTTAATTTATACTTTGTTGATATTGCATTGCCCGATCAAGCACTTTGATTGATCTATAGGGTTTTTTTACAGTTTTTTTTTTAAAAGAAAAATTCCCCTTCACTGTGTATGGAGCTTATCTTTTCTATTAATAAAATCGTTTGACTTAAAAAAAAAAAGAATTAGTAAAATAAAAAAAAAAAAGAATTCGTATATACACATGCATGATTATCCTTTATCCATGTGGCACACTTATTTTTGGACTTCGAGTCACAAAAATACTAGTAACACTATAAAAATCTAATAAATTGTTAATCTAATTATTACAATGACATATCTAGGATCGAGGCATGTAACAATCTGGATTACCTTGCGATAGTATTTCCATTCCTTTTCAATACGAAAGCCAAACCAAAACCAAAAACAAAAGCAAAAGAGCAAAAAATAGAAAAAAAAAACTTTGTTCTAATTTCAAATGTGAGGTCCCAGAGGAGCAAGTTTAGGCAGGCTGGGATTTGAATTTGGTCTGTAACTTGAAACAGAGAACAATTGGGTACAGCACCTTGGTCTTGGACTCTCGGCAGTAGTATTTTATTTCATGAAGTTATGGTCCAAATTATAGAAGAAACAAGCCTTTTTATGATTCTACCACACAGTTAATTCTTTTCCACTTAATCCCTCTTTTTATGGCCACATATCTTTTCGACTATGGAATGAAAAATCTTTTTCCTATTACATGAATTCAATTTTTATTTCTTATGGGAAATGCCATATTTTTCTCAACAATATCTTTTTCATTTGATCTACCAATGTTCCGTTATATAAGAACAGATTTAATAAATACTGATAATTCTTAGATAGATTATTAGAACAGAAAGATCTATTAGATAATGAACTATTAGTTCTAAACTATCTTTGATGACTAATCAACAATTCAAAGTGTTCTTCTAGCATATTCTTGATAAGTCATCATTTATAAATAGATATAGGAGGATCTATTTCGGAACTAAGAAGCCCATTTGGTATCTATTAGTCTACAAATAATTCTCGATGTGAAAACACTGACATAAATGACTGATTTTTGAATAAGAAAAATAGTGGATATGTAAGGTTCCATATGAATTGGCTTATTCGAAAAAGTCCTTATTTTTTGGAAGATTTATCTCGTGTCTAGTACTATATGGTTTCATTCTGCAAGAACTCCGAATTATTCTCTTGAAGCTCATTATCTTCGTCATAAATGACCTGGACCAATAAAAAAATCCAAATTTATTGGGACTTTCGATACTGTTAGGGGTAGAAATCGCGCGTTTGAATCTCATCCCTGAACGGAATGATTTTGGCTGACCTGGACCCCTTCCTAGGATAATCCAGTAACCTTTTACCTCTCAGTGCCCCTGCAGAGCTTCGTCCCACATCGACTGAGAGTCGTCTCCCCCACCCCCTTATAAGCCAGAGCCCCTTAGGGATGGGTACCCATTAGCTATTTGATCAATGAAGGGGTTAAACCTCATGATTACACGTGACACAGTATTAAATGTACTCACGTGATGTTGATAAGACCAGCCACGTGACAAAAGATTGTCTATTAAGAGATTTTTAACCGAGCCGAGCTAATTGAAGGTTCGGCAATATATTGGTTCTCTTTATAACCGAACTCATCAGTCTGTTCGGTTAAGCAATGAAAGAGCTTAGTTTGTACCAAATCGAGTCCGAAAAAGTATCTAGCATGGCAATCGAGGAAATAGGTTTGTATCAAGCTGAGTTCCTCAATCTGTTCGGCTTAAATCAAGTATGCTCGGTATTTGATATGCCCAAGCTGTTACAGATAAGCAGAAGGATAAAGATACGCCTATAACTCAGGCAATCAAATAAACGAATCAACGAAACTAGTGATATCAAGAGGAATTATTTGAGAAATGTTAGCAACTTTTCAAACTGAATAACTGAATTGTAAGAAGGTGTGCCACCTTGAACCTAAAATCATGAAAACCTTAAGAGGATTTATAAAAAACAAAAGAGACCAAGGTGAAAGGTACACTGAATTCTCCTAGACTTAGCACAATTCTTTCTATTCCATTACTAACTTAAGCATCGGAGTGCCTTCGATCAAAACACTTCGATCTTGAACAATTTTTCGTTTTGCGGGAAAGAGTTAAAGAGATTATTCAGACTTCATTCCCAGAAACCGTATCACAAATTCACATAAAAGTATAACCAGTTTTTTGCCTCTATAGATACAATCAAATAGAAAGCCCCAAGGGTGCCATATTCTAGGAGCCCAACTTGTGTGATTGAATAAATCTTCTTCTATATGATGCGGATTGAGGGCTACTTCTCCTTCCCCTTCTTCAAACTCGGATTCGTATTTTATATAGGGAAAAAACTTGAAACAGAGAACAAACAATCGGGAACAGCACCTGGGTTTTGGACCTCTCAACTTTGATCCAGTCGTTCAAGGCCTTCGAATCAGTTAGCCGCTTGGACCAGTTGGCTAAGCGGGCCACGCGGTCCCCACAATTACATATTCCACTTGGAACTAGAGAATCTCCACAGAAAGTACCTGAACTAAACACAGACAAAGTGATATCTGGGGAAAATTTAATTAAAAAACACACTAATCAAGAATAAATTAGAGGGTGGCTCTAATAGATACTTTAATAAAATAAGTACACCCAACTTTTTTTAAATTATAAAAAAGGCACAATAAAATAATGTTCATGCCATAGCTTCATCCCACGTCGACTTCATCCACAAATTATTAATTTTTTTTATTGTTAAATAAGTATTACTAAGTGGTAAGAAGGTGTTTATCCTAATAAGACTGCACTTTTGACAGCATCTATGCATGTGTATTACAAGATGGTCTGTGCCTATGAAAAGTCTACCAAAGTACACTACCCATGTTCTCACCTACAGCATCCTTTCACCTACAGCATCCTTTCTTTGAGCCTTTCTTTTTAATATCATATTTATTGCCATAAGAATAGACTTTTTTTTTACTTTAAAGCAATTCATATATCTTTACATTAGTGAGAGTAAAGTTTTGAATCAATTCCATGATATTTCAAGTGATAACAAATATAAGTTATAAATTCAAATGTCTTGAGTTCGAATCTTGACAACTCCTTATAATTAGGTCACGAGAAATTTATCCCTCATAAATATATCAGTCCTGGTGCAGATGACTTACTTTAGACTAGACAGGAAAAATGATTAATCGAAGTACGCATAAATTGACCTTATTAATTCAGCCCATAAAATAAAAACACCCTAGAATTCAATTTTTTTAAAAACAAAAGCAAAAAAGTTAATAATAAAGCCAAAGCTACTAAAATTCAAAACGTAACCCCCCAAAAAGGTCAAATTCAAACTTATAATTATAATTTTCAATAATTCTCTCTCCCCTCTTATCATCAAGTTCAACTATGATAGCAAAAGTTTGAATATAAAAAATTAATTAATATTTTTTGTATTTCAAAAATATAAAAAATAAAATTTTAACTACATTTATTATTAATATTAAAAATAAAAATAAAAAATCTCATTTACTATTCCTGCTTTAGGTCTCAAAATGTCTCAAGCCGCCCTATGTAAGTGAGGTTTTGAATGTAATAAGTGTATGGATTATATTCATTAGAGTCGTAGTGTGCTTCTGTTCTGCAATTTTAGTAGGAAATGAACATTTGGTTTGGAAGAAAATGGTTGCGTATCAAATTGCATTTAGATAAGTTTTTGGGTATCAATTTGAATTAGATAAGATTTAGGTGTTCGGATTGGACTAAATGACCGGGTATCTTCCTCCATCACCATCCACTTCCGAGCCCCTTATTCCTCCGAACGGTTGAAGCATGGCTTTTCAAGGGAAGAAGATTCATCTTCAACCAAATATATATATAAATACTAACGAGCGATGTCCCGTAACTGAAGTCACACTTCAATATTATGCATGTATTAGAGTATGTATATAGCTGGAATGTGTATATAATAAGAATGTGTACTTGTGTGTTTGTGAAATTTGGGAGAGGGAAGAAAGTGTGTGATGGGTGTGTAAAATTGGGAGAAAAATATATCCTCATAAGTTCAAAAACCAAACTATATATATATATATATATATATATATATATATATATCAAGTTAAATTTAGGGAAAAAAAATCCTAACTCGATTTAAATTTAGATCTTAATCAATTAAGGGTATTGAGTTTATTGTATGCAACCCAAGTCCTCTTTATTTTCACTAATTCAAGTTCAATCTAATTTTTATAACCCGAATTTTATCCTCATGTTGAACATGTATTTCAGTTTGTGACGTATGATTCTAGAATCGAACACAAATTGTAGACAAAAATTAAAAAAAAACTCAAATTTTAGTCTGACAGATGTAGGTCGTGTTTAATAAATTCAAAGTTTAGAATTGAATTTGGATTAAACTCAAGTAGTGAATTTAATTATTTGAATTTTAGCACAAATTTGACGTCTCAAATCCTTTCGATCCACCAAAGTTGGTAGAGTTGCACCACAATTAGAAAAGAAATGAGAAAAAAGCTCAGAGAGTAAGATATCTATTCATGTTTTGCAATCACTACACTTTGATATGCTTATAATAATTGAGCACCATCTATTATTGCACACGCAGGACAAATCAAGTTGCCTATTGACTAGGTATCAAGATTAATGGTATTTGAAACAGGTGTTAATTATTCAATAAAATATGTTAATTATCGAAGCAAACTTTTCTTAAACACAGCTTAATTCCAATTCTCTTTTTGCTTTTTTTTTTTTTAAATTAAAAAAGTAAAAATCTAAATCTTTTTCTAAATGCACTCAAAATAAAAGTCCACGAATCAATACGCACCACAACATTATAAAAGTCAAAGCACTTTCCAAAATGAATGAAGAGAAATCTTATTATGGTGGCGTTAGTGAGGTCAGAGGCGGAGCCAGAATTATGAGTTAGGAGGACAAAATATAATAAAAATAAGTCATTAATTGATATAAGAAATTACTGTATAAAACATCAAAGTCGGTTTTCATCTAGCCTATACATACATGAAGGTGATCCTCCCCCCCCCCCCCCCCCCCCCCCCAAAAAAAAAATAAATAAATAAAAACACTACAAAGGTGGCCCCGCCACTGGGTAAAGTCCCTCAATCAAAGAGGATTGATAGCCACAAGCACCTTCAGAAAGAGGTGTAAACTAATTGACCACCCCTTCCTCTTCATTACTGCATAAGAAGTTCATTTTCTCCGGTATTTAGCTATAGAACAGATTTTTGTGTTGTGAACGTGTAGTCCAGTGAACAATTAAAAAAAATTTGGGTATGAGCTGCAAATACAACCAAAACCAAAGGCTGCAATCACTTTTCTCTCACATCTTGATATGGGTCTTAAATGTACTTCAAATTCTCATCCCATATTTTCATATTTCGGAAATTTTGAACTCTTTTATTTTGTGTGACAATAATTTTTTCAATATTACTCTTGCAATTATACATGAGGGGGCTATTAACTGTTTAAAAAAAAAATTTAACGGTTTTCTTTATGTATTACTTTTTAATGTTCATTATTTCAAACTTCAGCATTATATGCTTCAGGCCACTCTCTCTTCCACTTTGCCTTATTTAACTAGTTTATGTCCTATACCCAAAAAAAAATTAGTTTATCTCGAATTTATATTTATTTTCGAGAGGTTGGGTGAAGTTGGAGGGTGAAAGAAACTCCAACCCATTCTCTATTTCTCATTTCTTAGCCATTTTACTTAACCTAACATAAAAAAAACATCTTCAACTTCTATTTCTCATTTCTCCAAAATGGCTCTGCAAATCTCTCTCCCCTTCTCTCTTTCAAGAAAATATGCATTACAACGGTGATACCACATGTCAATGTGATGTAGTATTAATTACTAATAATATTAAAATAAATAAGCAAATGGACCCTATAAAAATTAATAACTAACTTGTTATGTAAGCAAATAACTCTTTACTCTTCCTCTATGAAAGTTCAAGTGGGGTTTACTTTGCCCACTTGAGGTTTTATTATTGGTAGGTGATACTATGTCATCAATGGTGACATAGTATCACCGTTGCATTCAATATTTACTCCTCCCTCTCTTGGTTCAATCAACTTTCTCTTTTGTTTTTCACCGTTTTTTATTCTTCAGCTTTTCTATTTTGGCTCTTTTTCTTTCACTAAAATTTTTGATTCACTAAAATTCCATGTCAATTTGAGAAGAAGAACCCAAAACTGGTCTCTCTTCTTTATTTTCTAGTTAAATTTTAGGTTAAATTCAATTTTAGAATAAATATGACCGTTAAAATCATGATGCACAAAATAGATTTATGTACAATCTACAGTCGAGTGAATGATACAAGGGAATTAATGAGACAATTAAAAAAGCAATTAATGGTAAAAAGGTAAATCTTTGGTCAACACACAAATATATAGTGGTTCGGTCGGGATGACCAACTCCACTTTGAAGATGGCAACGGTGGCTGGTGGTCTTTATTGACGAAGTAATAGGTAAGAGAGAGATAGAGAGAGCAACAGTTAGCTCCAAGAGTGATTTGGCATCTAAGAGAGAGAAATAGCTATGTGAGGGGGTGTGTAGAGAGGTGTAGAGATAGAGCTCATGATATGTCATCTCATGTAGAGATAACTTACAATTTATAGGCACAAAGCCTTGTTTAAGGCAGTGACACGAGAGCAAATGTACTAATTCTCCGGGTAGCTACAAAAGGTAAGTGCCATAAGAGGTTGTCTTGATTTTCGAAACTGAGTATCTTGATAATTATTTTCCACGTGTTCTAATTATTTTTGGATTTCTTGGACCTTGGGCTGGATCGAATTTACGAATTGGGTTTGACTTGCTTTTTAGCTGAATTGGATTTACTTGATTTATTGGGTCTGGCCCAGTTGAATCTGCATTTGTCATGTGCCCCCCATGCCCCAAGCCCTTGAGGTGTCAAAAGGTTGAGGGCATGAGAATCTTGGGATAGATGAGGGTTTCTTGTCCTGCACGATGGTAGCTTCATTATCTGAAAAAGGTTCCTTGTCCCACACGGTGGTAGCTTCTTCAATCTCTTGCTCTGTTTGCACCTTGAGAGCTCGTTCTCTTGAATTGATAATCACTGTGGTTGAAAACCCATTGTCCCATCGACTATATTCCAATAGCTAGGTAAACTCGACAACGTGGTCTTCCTCTTTTACTTAGGTAATTTGCCCTCAGGCTTTAAAGATCATTTTTTGGCAAACCCGACATATCCATTTTTTGAGCTAAGAATTAAAAACCTCCATTTCTCCATTTCATATTCCACAAACTACTGTGCAATCGTGAAGGAGGTGACTATGGAGCCAAGGGAGAAGACGAAGAGTGGAGTCTCGATGAAGGAAATGGAAGGTGAATAGAAAACTTTAGGTGGAGGATCAGTAGGGAGCGCTGATGACAATGTGGTCATGGACTAGGCGCTAGGGGGAACCAAATCGATGTCGAGTGTCCACAATCTTGGTGAGGACGACCCTCGTGTTGCTCCCAGGAACCTAGGTGGTGCCACAACGAGTCATAGTGACACATCAGGTAACACCATAACAAAGCCTAGGGAGACGCCCAACTTAGCGGGTGATGGTGGCGCCAGACGAGGCTTCGGCTTGGATGTTTTAGCTACTCATGATGCAGGGCAGTGTAGGGGCGTTGATAGGCCCGAGGTAGATGGTGGCGCCATCTGCGTGGGAGGCATCAACAGTAGGGAAGTCGACACCATCAACGTGGGAGACACCATCAACGAGAGGGAAGACGGTGCCCATGGCAGATGGCATCCAACTAGAGATGCTAGTGGAGTGGGCGAGACTGGTAGGAAGGCGGATGAGCACAAGTTAGGCAGCGCCGGTGGGCAGGGTGACTTTGGTGGAGGTTTGGGCGCGATGGGTGACGTTAGTGGAGGCTTGGGCGCGACATTCAACATTGGTGGAGGCTTAGGCAAGTGGGCATAACATCGAAAAATGTGCAAGTAAGTTCAATGGAGTCTTTGGGCACTCGGGTAATGTAGGAAAGTAACTAGGCAGTGACTCAAACGAATAGAGCTCATGAGGTATGGTATCTGGGGCCCATACTTATTCATTTCCTCGGTGTATGTATTTCCTTGTTATTGACTTGATTTTGGCTTTGGCAGGCGCTGGTGGCTGCCTAGGCGCATTGGGCTAGGCCATGGAGACATTAGTCGAGGGCGTAATAAACAGTGGCGCCAGCTATAGGCATGGGTTGGGCAGTCATGTCTGTGGTCTGGCCATTAGTGGAGACTCTAATGGGAGCCTGAGATTGGGTGGATCCCTTCACGGTAGACCAAGCGTTGGGAAAGTGGACCCATGCATGAGGGAGATACATTTGGGCACCGAGACCTCGCTTAGAGAGGTAGATGGACCAGGTTGTGGAGGGGATTGAGGTACCACCTTCTAATTGTGTAACATAATTGCCTTTTATTGTTATGTCAGGTGCCCGAGCCAGTAGGGGCGATACAATGGATGTTAGGCAGGCTTTACAGCAAGGTAAAGGGATCATTGAAGGTGATGGTTCGAAGTTAACCTCCATTTTTAGCTCGATTAACTGCGATGACGACGTCGCCCACTTTGTGTCTTCATACTGTATCCCTTCTGCTGTCATGTGTCATTAGGCGGAGCAGGACGAGCCAGCATGTTGTGACTCTTTGGGTGAGATTGTTCTCTATGAAGATGCCTTAGAGGCGGGTTTGAGGTTCCCAATACCCAGACCCATCTGTCAGATTCTGGGGCGCCTATCGCTGGCTCCTAGGAGGTTTGCTCCCAACGGGTGGATAATAATTCTTAGGTTTTTCTCGCTATG